GTTGTGTGCATGTACATAACCACAGACAGTAAGCACAATTCTTGGCTCGATTTTCGCAATGTGAGCGAAGCATTTCGACTAAGGAGGATGACTACTTGCGAAGTCACCAACAGCGCGGAATAGTGCGGAAATTAATTATTCATTTAAAGATCAACATTTTACAATGGGCGTGTTTTATTTGACGAGAAATTTAAGCTATTAGCTTATTTTGTATGGAAGACTTAGCTTATATAGTTATTTTTCGTCAAATAAAACAGGCCTAATATACACACGTGCAGCGGAATTTTTTACAGCATATACGCTAGCTACGCTGTAGTTTGTTAACGAAATCATTGGGGATAAATCTGCACAGCCATATGATACTTATTTACCTGGCCAAACTATGTACAAAATACCTTGAAATGTGTTCAACTATGGTTAAAAGGCATCTTTGTCAAAACATCTGTCGCTTAGATTAAGGTTGATTGAGTTATCATCACTAGGCGCTATAAAACTGAATTGCACTGAAATGACAACACAGCGGAACGTACTTATCAAGAATATCGCAACGTTGCAATAGTCTTAAGGCTGGTTTTCACTATGTCAAATTCAGTGGCATTTGTCATCAAATAAGTGAAAACACATTGTCAAATGGGATTAAAAAGTGGTATATCGATTGATTTTGATCAGGAAAGATCTGTAGTCATGTACATGCGCTGCTAAAACGGCTATCTGTCAGTTTTTGGCCCGTAATATCATTGGTAAAGGTATGAAAAAAGGAGATAAAGTTGTGTCAAAATATTTCGCCAAATTTCGGCGTCAAAATATGACATAGTGAAAACCAGTCTTTATGCTGAGATGAACATAACGGACCATTTTCGTAGTTTCAAGAAGATAAAAGAGTAAGAAAATTATTTTCTGCCGCTTAATAGTTTCAAGTCGAAAGCGATTATGCACGCTCGGCAAACCATCCTTCCGTGGTTTCGCAAAGATCTTATAGGTGGAAATAAGGCATTTAGCCAAGTGATTGGTCACTTTAAGGTAATTGAATAATATAACCGGTCTTTATTATCCCATTTGTGGACGGTATTTATTCTCCACTCATTCCAACCTAAGTTAATACACGTGCAGGACGTGCAAAAAATTTGCAGTAAAATGCCCATCTACCCGATTTACTAATAAATCTGTATCTAAAAATTGTTCGGTGCGAAAAATTTCGTATAGAAAACTCAAAACGTTTTACGTCATTTTATCTTCTTCAAGACGGGACAGGCAAAGTCAGGTCTTCGTACCACAAGAAGTGACCAGTCAGCAATTCCAAACGTGGTCTACAGTCTCATTTGCTCGCTGAAAGCCTGCATATCCCGATGCCTCGGAAGTCATTCCAAATGAAATATTCACATACTTTCCCACAGTGGTTGCCGCGACTGAAGGCCGGATTGGTATAACTGGTTGCGGGCGAACGACTAAATACTTAACCTGAAGCCTTTATAGCCTCATTACCAGGTATTGCCGCGTGGTCCATCAGCAGCCAGATTAAAACAAGCAAACGAGCATTAAATTATCGAACTACTTAGTAGTTAGACTGATTGCAGCTCCATCGTCCCCTCAGGTATAAAATCTGTATCTTTTCCCTAAATGGTTCACTCCGATAAGGATTCCACCTCCTAGCCCAGTGTCAATTTTGGGTAATCTGTAAAGATTCTGCAATGCATAATTTTTCACTCAGCGTTGATACGTATGATATGATGCTATTTTTATGAACACAACTGTGTATTGTTCGTGTGTGTCCTAGCCCCAGAAAAAAAGAGATATCCACTCAGATTGTTTATTTTTGACTGTTTGCTGTTGGTAATCATTTCATTGATATTCAATCGAAATATATATTTTAACTACCTGTCAAATATTTGTTGTATTTTTTTTCATAGCATTAACCACAGTAATCGAAAGTGTCAGTAGTGGGCACTGATGTTTGAAATCGCTAATTAGCGGCAGTGCGAACAGTTTGAATACAAGTGTTAGCAGATTTCATGCAGAATTTAATTTTAGATAATTTAATTGATCATGAAGAAAGACTAAACTAAAAATAGACCGACACTAAAATATTTTTTTAGTAAAAGAAGATTTTTTTACAAAAATAAAATTAAAAAAATTTAAAACATAAAAGTACATATAAATAAAATTATGAAACAAATAAAACAATAAAAATAGATACAAAAAATAAACTAAATTAAAAAAATTAAAAAATATCAAAAAATTTTTCAAACAAGAAATAAAAAAAAAAATAAAAAGAACTACACACATAATATTATGGCATTTAGCTAATGTTATAGTGGCTTATTAACATTTTATTTTTAATATTTTTATAGAGCTTTGGATTTAGTTTTTTAAAAGTAACTGGCTAACCAGAATGGTGAGGCTGCATTATGTAGCCAGAGCTGTCAAAAGTTAAAATACTCTAAATGCTCTAAACTGCCCACAATATGTAGCTGTGGTTGTGGTGTATTATTGTTGATGTATGTAGCTGATGTAGCTAGCGAAATAGCTTGTGGCTGTGGTACTACATTCGGGTTAGCCAGTAAAAGAAAATAAGTAAAGTATTAAATCAAAGCATAAATTCATAAAAAATTTAAAAATATAAAAAGAAAAAAAAAAAGAAAAAAGTAAAAAATTAAAGATTTACATGGAAGGTTCAAAAACTAAATATAAAGTAAATTAAAAAAAAACTAAGAAAAAACACAATTAAAAACTAAAAAATTTGAAGGAAGTGAAATAATAAAAAAAAACAAAGTTTTTAAAGATTTTTAAAATTAAAGGTTTAAAAAGAAAAAAATATTTATAAAATTAAGGAACTAAAAAATAAAGAGAAATTTTCGAAAACGAGAAATAACGTAATATGAAATTAAATGAAATGAAAAAAATAAGGTAAACAAAAAAGATCAGAAATGATCTCTTGATGAATCATATATCTATTAATTTTGTGTCAATTAACACTGCCTTTTAAGATTTTCGTTATTATCAGTGCCCATAATCATTTTNACAAAGTTTTTAAAGACTTAAAATTAAAGGTTTAAAACGAAAAAAATATTTATAAAATTAAGGAACTAAAAAATAAAGAGAAATTTTCGAAAACGAGAAATAACGTAACATGAAATTAAATGAAATGAAAAAAATAAGGTAAACAAAAAAGATCAGAAATGAAAAGTCATATCTATTAATTTTGTGTCAATTACACTCTAAAAAATTTTTGTTTAAATTTGCGCATATTAAGATAGGTAACCAGTTTCCTCTCTTAATTAATGCAAATTTAAACACTGCTTGCTTACTTTTACTTATCATATGTGTGGCGTAGAACAAATTTCAAATTTGTTTTTTGAGTTTTAAACATTTATTGTTCACATTTTCACAGTTTACACATAAAATGTTTAAAATTTCCTCTAAAAAATTTACGTTTAAATTTACGCATATAAAGAGAGGTAACCAGTTTCCTCTCCTAGTGTGTGCAAAATTAAACAATGTCTGTTTACTTTTACATATCAAATTTGTCACGTAGCGCACACAAGGGATGGGTTTTGGGGGTAAATTTATTATGATATAAGAAATTTTGATAGAAAAAATTTTCTTTTCCATTTCTTGTGCGTCATTTTGTAAGAATTTTTCTTTTTTCTTGAGAGCTCTTTAAAGTTTAACTGCGAATGAAAGCATTGTCCTAAAAATATGCAATGCATACTCACTTACTGTTGGTTTTTACACTTTACAGGCTAAAAAAGTTTACCACTGATATGTACTTAATAAGCATTCGAAGATTTAATTTGCTAACTTTGAATTCGTTCCACCAAAATGAGCTACATGATAAAAATACAAGTTCAGTTAAATTTTCGTTATTCGAAGTATTAAAAAATGAGAAACCAGAAATCTAAGAAAATGAATATAAAAGTGTAAAAATTTAGCGAAGTTATTTAATTTATTTATATTAGAATGCTTTTGTAAAATTTTGTATTACTCTTGAAAGTTGAGTGCATCTTTAACCGTTAATTTTTTCATGATTTAATGATCGGATCTTAACCAAATTACGAGACGACCCTTAAGGTACCATCTTTCCGGTAAAAAAAATAATTATTGGAATCGGTTCACGTGGTGCAAAGTTATGCGGTGGAATAAATAAAAGAAGTAATAATACTCCGAAGAATTGATAACCTCCCCTTTTTTGAAGCCGGTTTTAAATAGTCTGAGTTCTTTGTAAATTTTATGTAAATAAAATGCAATTGATGATACTTTAAAAAGTTTATTTATTTATTTCATACTGTAAATAAAACTTTCATAAATGTATTTTAAAGAGCGAATTTTCAGTATTTGCTGATGATATATATTTAGAAGTATAAACCCTTTCCCCCCAAAAATATATTCCTGCGTGCGCCCCTGGCACTTAGTATTTATTATTTGTAAAAAATATATTTTTACTTTCAAAATGTTTGTAATTTTAAACATTTCATGTGTATGTTTTAGACAACTCATGTTCAAAACCAAATCTTGAACATCTTGTGCGTATACTTGAACAGATTTTGGTTGAAAAATAAACACTTTTCAGTAGTAGTTTTACATGCACTTTTTAGAGTGTAACACTGCCTTTTAAGATTTTCGTTATTATCAGTGCCCATAATCATTTTAATCGAACACCCTGGAAAAAACTCATCTACATGTGCTTATACTTCGCTGCGTTAAAATTACGCATAAATTTACTATGAAATTTCATAATAGCCGAATGAAGCTGGCGAAAAGCCATGAAGCGAAAATGGCAAAAATGTGTGTTGAATTGTCCAAACGCCAAAATTGAATGAAAGATATGGAAGATGCCAAAGCAAGTGAATGACCGAAATCTAATTTTGAATCGAATTCAACTAAAACTTAGTTATAAAACGGCACATGTAAATACCTACATCAAAACTAGCCACAGCCGAAGCCGAAGGCAACACACTTCAATGGCCAATGTCAAATATACACAAATTCACAGCTTACACAAATTGATTTTATTTACACTTTGAAACTTAAAAATTATTGTCAGTGCACTGTTATATTACTAAACGTATATATGTACATATGTGGATGTAAATATTTAGACTTAGAATTCTTTATGAAAGCGGCTTGTCTTGTACATTACACTAGGTATAAATTATAAATTATTTTCCACTTAAATTATTTCTCATTATATTAGTTCACTTGGCCATAGTTTATATACTTACAATTAAGTTAAAATTAAATTAATTAAATTCTATTTTCACCTTAGACTAATTGTTGTTCCACACATTCTTATTATTCCTAGTTGCCCACATTTGGAAATCTTGGCACTTAAATACATTCTACACTTCATACTTCTTTTCGCCTTTGTCACTGCTTAAAACCATTATCTTCCTTGATCATATCCGCCGCCTTCTCGGCAATCATGAAAACCGGTCCATTCGGATGTCCCGACATGATTTCTGGCATGATGCTTGCATCCGCTACACGCAGATTTCTTATGCCATATACACGTAATCTCGGATCCACCACAGCCGCAGGATCTGTTGCCGGCCCCATTTTCGCCGTGCCCGAGTAGTGATAGATTGTGAAGGTAAAATGCCGCACATGGCACTCCCAGTATTCGCGAGTTCCGAACTCACGACCCTTGCACGTAGGTATTCTGCGATCCCACAGCTTAGCATTGATTTTCTTGAAGCCTGGGTAATTGGCCAGGCTGATCGCTTTTAGTACACCACGTACGGAAATATCCACGTCATAGGGATGTGCGTAGTAGTTGGAGTAGATGAGTGGATATTTCTGCGGATCAGTGCTCTTTAGCATGATGCGTCCACGGCTCTTGGGTCGCAGTATCATGGGGAAGATCATAAAAGCGTTAAGTGCTTTATCTTCAATTTCCGCGAACATGGAGTCGTAGATGAGTTTTTTGAGGCCAAAACCACGTGAGATAGCTGGGTTTGAGGACATTGAGCCGCCCACCAAGAACAATTCGATATCTGGCCAGCCATCCTTTAAATGCGGATGATCCAAGTCCCAGAATGCGATAGCTTCACAGCCTCCTGGCGAGCCGTAGGGACCTTCTTGTCGGTTGAATTGATTCACCAGCGTTGGATCAGCAAAGTCCTCGAAATGCAGCGATGTCGCGTTGGTTGTGAAGGTGACGGCAGGCGCTGTGTGATCCTGCAGATTGAAGCCAACCGCCAAATCCACAATCGTTTTAATGCCCATTTCGCGCAAATGTTGGGCTGGACCAACACCGGAAAGCATGAGTAGTTGTGGCGTGTTAATGGCACCAGCGCTGACAATCACCTCACGACGCGCCAGAATTTTGTGTTCGTGCCCGTCGGTGCGCACAATTATGCCATAAGCGGCACGCGTTGTCGGATCGATGAGTACTTTTGTGACCAAAGCGAATTTCTTCACGTGCAAGTTGCGACGTTTGCCCTTAAGCGGATACAGATAGGCGCGATTTGAGCTCCAACGCGTTGCATTACGTGTGGTGGTGTGCAAGAAGCTGACGCCGTTTTGTATGTGTCCATTGTAGTCGCGCCGCTCCAATCCGTCCTGCTGAGCTGCTTCCAAGAAGGCTTCGGCTATCTTCGAATGCCAGTTGACATACGAAATCTTCACAGGTCCATCACGCCCCACCAAATCCTCATCAGCATCAGGCACACTCGAGCCTTCATACTTCTTAAAATAGGGCAACACATCACGCCAGCTCCACCCTATGTTGCCCAACTCTGCCCAACGGTCGTAGTCACGTCGATTACCACGAGTATACATCATATAATTGAGCACCGATGAACCGCCCATGACCTTACCTCGCGGCCAATTGCAGCGGTTGTTGTTCATGGCCAAACAAGCGTGATCCGAGGGCTGTGTGCGATATTTCCAATTCATTTCGCCCAGCTGCAGAAAATGTGCGACAATCGGCACATCCATTATGAGACTCTCTGGGCCGCCGGCTTCGAGTAGAAGCACTTTCCATTTGGGATTTTCCGAGAGACGCGCTGCGATCGTGCATCCTGCCGTACCTGCGCCCACGACAATGAAGTCATATTCACTTTCCATTCGCAGACTGTTGTCATAGTTTTCCAGATCGGCGTCAATTTGGCCGCGGCGCAGAAAGTCGAATGTCTCGAGGATAACGTTGCGCTCCTGCGCCCAAGTGAGTGCACTAAAAATGCATAGCGGCATAAACAAGAGGAGCCGTGGCTGCAGTAGGAAAAGCATTTTTTGTGTTAACTCAATTTTTCTTGACTTTAAGAATTTCGCGTGTTAAAACGCGACTGATCTCACTATTTGCGTTTTCAAAGCGACCCTCGATAAATCAGCTGCGCTTTTACTGAGTTTTTCTACAGAAACACGCACAATCTTTGCAACACAACACAAGTTTCAAAGTTACACAGTTCTTGGCTGATTGTTTATTTTTCTCAATTTCCATGCACTTCAATGTCTTTTTAACACTTTGCACTCGTTTTTCTTGATTGGCAAAATCTTTTTGTTTATTTTATTTTAATTTCTTAACAGTATTCAGCTTCTTAACGCTGCTACCGCGTTCTAGTCACTCTGTATCTGTACTTGTTGCTTATTTGTTAGAACCGCGTGCCCGTTGTCTGCGCCGTGTGCGGTGGACCGTATTCTCGGAACCGCGCGTCTTAACGCTGAGGAAACGTAACTTCGAATGTTCGCCGTTCGGCGGGCGTATGTGTTTTTAATATTTGTAGTAAATAAAGTGGCGGCGACTATTCGACTATTCTTCGTCAGCTTCTTCTTCGATTGCTTTATAACTACCAACAAAAAAAGGCAAAAAGCCAACCCAATAATTCAATGCGGCGAACAGGTTGTCCAACACTTTAAGTCAGCGCGCCGACTGCTAAGACGGCATCGCTGGCGATGACGAAGACAGCAAGTGAAGTTGCGCAGCTGCGAACTTGCGCTGTTGAACTTGCCAGCTGTTCCGTTTGTCGCCGCGCTCTTTGGCGTTGCGTTCCAAGGTACACCACGCTTATGTGTGCGTTTCTTAATAGTTTTATTGTGCTTGTGGTGTGTATTGTCGCTGGTCTATCGAAAGTGAAACACTGTTTTGCTGGGTCTTCTAAGCTCGTGTTGCTTTTGTGCATCGCGTGGCAAGCATTATTCTATTTTGATTTCGCTTTCAGCTTACTGCTTCGCCACAACATGCCAGTGGACACGTTTGCGCCTCAATGCATCCGCAGTGGTGTTTAGTTGCGCACTGATCGGTAAATATAATTGGTTGTTGAACTTGTGGGGTGCATAGTTTTGCAAGCAGACGCTTGGACGACCCCGAACGCGCCAATAATTTATGAGGAGACAATGTCATAAAGACTTGAAGTTGATGTGCAAAATATGATTCATAACAAAGAAATCAATTGAGTATTATTGGAATTCGATTTCACATTCGCTCAGCAAAACCAGAGGTCGAAAAAACCCGTCGATTTGTGTTGTACTTATGATAGGTGTTCTTGATTGAACCCTTCGTAAAATCCCTGAGAAGTTACCATGTACCAATTCCGCTGAAACTACCACTTCGCTTTTCGATTCACCTACACTCTTTAAGCTTTAAATATCACAAGAATTTTCCCACTTCATAACGACCCCTTCAACAGACGGAACCTCACTCCAACATTTCTCACTAAACGTAGTTATGATCCTGCTTGATCATGTCCGCCGCCTTTNCGTGCAAAATATGATTCATAACAAAGAAATCAATTGAGTATTATTGGAATTCGATTTCACATTCGCTCAGCAAAACCAGAGGTCGAAAAACCCGTCGATTTGTGTTGTACTTATGATAGGTGTTCTTGATTGAACCCTTCGTAAAATCCCTGAGAAGCTACCATGTACCAATTCCGCTGAAACTACCACTTCGCTTTTCGATTCACATACACTCTTTAAGCTTTAAATATCACAAGAATTTTCCCACTTCATAACGACCCCTTCAACAGACGGAACCTCACTCCAACTTTTCTCACTAAACGTAGTTATGATCCTGCTTGATCATGTCCGCCGCCTTTTCGGCAATCATAAATACCGGCCCATTTGGATGTCCAGCAATTATCTCCGGCATAATGCTCGCATCCACTACACGCAAGTTCTTCACTCCGTACACCCTCAGCCGCGCATCCACCACAGCAGCTGGATCACTGCGCGGTCCCATCTTGGTTGTGCCTGAGTAGTGGTAGATGGTAAATGTGAAATGGCGTACGTAGCACTCCCAGTAAGCGCGGGACTTGTACGGCAGATTAGCGCAGCCGGGCATAACGCGCTCCAACACTTTTGCGTTGATCGCCTTAAAAGCAGGTCGCTCCACCAAGTCGATGGACTTGAGCACACCCCGCACAGCGATATCCAAATCATCGGGATGTGCGAAGTAGTTTGCATGCATAAGCGGGTACTTGAAGGGATCACTGCTCTTGAGCATTATACGTCCGCGGCTCTTAGGCCGTAGCATCATAGGAAATAGGATAAAACCGTCTGTTTTGACATTTGCGAACATGGTATTGTAGGTGTCCGGCTGTAGGCCGAAAGCACGCAGCGTTGCTGGATTCTCATCGAAGGAGCCGCCTAATTGAAACATTTCCAAATCTGGCCAACCATCCTCCAGTTCAGGGTGGCTCAGATCCCAAAAGGCGATCGTTTCCACAGCACCGGGCAGACCGAAAAGTCCTTTTCCTTCAACATACTGCATTATGTTTCGTGTTTCGAAGTAGTCTGCGGTTTTAATTGAGCTGACGTTGGTGGTAAATGAAACGGCTGGTGCAATGTGGTCCTGCAGATTGAAACCGACGGCCAAGTCCGCGATTGGCTTGATTCCCATATCACGCAAGTGCTGTGCGGGCCCAATGCCGGATATCATGAGCAGCTGCGGCGAATTGATAGCACCCGCCGACAGAATTACTTCACGGCGTGCGCGCACCTGAAACGATTGACCGCCAGTGCTCAGCACTACGCCGTATGTGGTCTTTGTCGTCGGATTAATTAAAACTTTTGTCACCAGCGCATTCTTTTTCACATACAGATTGGGGCGCCTGCCTTTGATGGGATAGAGATAGGCGCGATTGGAGCTCCAACGCATGCCTTTGTATGTGGTGGACTGCAGGTATGACACGCCCGTTTGTATGCGACCATTGTAGTCGCGGTACATCAATCCATCCTGCTGTGCGGCCTTTATGAAAGCATCGGAGATGCCGGAACGCCAATCAGCATGGGAAATTTTGACCGGCCCATGACGGCCTACATAGTCGCTTTCGGCGTTGGGGATTGTAGATCCTTCGAACTTCTTGAAGTAAGGCAAAACGTCGCTGTAACTCCAGCCCTCGTTGCCCATCTCGGCCCAGCGATCGTAGTCGCGTCGATTGCCGCGGGTGTACATCATATAGTTGAGTACCGACGACCCGCCCATGACTTTGCCTCGGGGCCAATTGCAGCGATGATTATTCATGGCGAGGCAATATTTACTCGACGGCTGCGTCCGGTAATTCCAATTGATTTCGGTGAGTTGTAGGAAATGGGCAAGTATTGGTATATCCATGGCCATATTTTCCGGGCCACCTGCTTCGATTAGCAGCACTTTCCAAGCAGAATTTTCCGAGAGCCTCGCCGCTAGCGCACAACCCGCAGTGCCCGCGCCGACCACTATGAAATCATACTCTTTTAGTAACCTCACACCATCATCCACATGCTCGATATTCAAATCATTTTGGCCACGTCGCAAAAACTCGAAAAAATCCGTTATAATATTACCCCTTTGTGCATACGATACACCGCAGCCGCTAGCGAACAGGAACGTGATTAGCAAAAATACGGAGCAACGACGCGACATATTTTATAATTTGTTAATCTTTTTATCTAAGGCTACAATTTGCAAGTTATTTTAAATTCATTAAGCGCAATTAATATGAGCTGCACTGACTTTGCTCAGTTCGAGTTATTTGCTATTCAAGTATTTACGAGCACACGCGCGTCTTCAACTGATCTACAAGCCGTGTGCGATTCCGCCACCGATTCGCGAAGTTCTGTGCCACCCAACCGGCCAGAGAATTCATATAAAGATTCTAATGTTACAAAGTCGATTAGAATGTCTGAGAGAAAACAATAGATCGACTATAATGTGTGACAGTTGCAGCTAGATAAATATGTAAATACGAACTGTCACGTTCGTCTTAGCGACGATTAAAAGCGCTCTGCCGAGACACGGTTCATTGAACGACGTAAAACATGCTCTGTAATGATTTTTTAATTGTGAAACATGAAAGCTTTTAATTTATAAATTTTGTAACTGATCAGCTGTTTCGAAGGGGGCACAGTGGTACAAGAGTGACAAAAACGGCCTATCTAATCTTTCAGAAGGAAAATTAGGTCGATACGCAACTTACGAAATCTTCTAATGCTAGTAAGAAAAAAATACTTAACTATCCTCGCTAGGAAGTCGAGTGCTTCTGCGGTGTTTTTGTATGTAAGCTGTGCTATTCTCGCTTGAACCATTTCATAGGTGATAGGACACACCCGATTGGTGGTTCGGGAACTTCATCTCTCCGTTCAATTCAATGCTGCCACCAATACAGGGACCTTTTAACTGCATATACCCGTCTTATTCGTCATTCTCTTACAATATTTACAGAAACTTGACCCAATTTGTTTCAAGTGCCTTCGTAGCTTTTCGAGCTCTACTCATTAACGCATTTCGGGTTTTCGCCCTAGAGGTTCGGCATTTTCTCACCGCAGCATTTATTTCTGGAATCTAACTCTTCAGCGGGGGTATGCAAAGATCTAGAAATTTCATCTTTCTACTCGCCGATATTGTTCCTTTCTTGTAGTGAGCAGAAATGTCAGTCGTTCGCCGGTTTTGTTGAGACCTTCTTGTCGCGACACCGAGCTTAACTTGTGTGGTAAAATGTGTGTTCTTTGATGCAAAGAGGCGCATGCGAATCTTCGCTGTAACAGTAATAGTGATTCAAGTCAATGTTCGATCCTCAGGTTGTACTCACACCTTGACATATGCATGCAGATTACTATGTTCTAGGTCCCGAAGCATTAGCAGATCGCTCGCCATTGAGACCGAGTTTTTCGACTGCTTTGTCCATCTTGGCATTGAAGTCATAACGTAAGCTCTCAAAGAAGCGGTGTTTGGTCGATATGTCGGTCCCATTCTTCGAAACGTGGGCTCAAGTTGGCGAGATGTTGAAGAATTTCACGCTAATTCGGATCGTGCTTAGACCCTAATTCACCACAAGGCACTACACTATCCACGACTGGATCATTCACCAAGTTAAATCCAGAATCGTTGTTCATTTCTTTGTATAGCAACATCATATCCAATTTCAAAGTAATAGAAATACAGAGCTTCGGAGGAGTAGGAGAGAAATGCAAATTGTCACTTGACATCCACGGTGTGCCACTCAACCCATAATAACTAATAGAACTCTAGTCTCGTGGAAAGCACTGGATATAAAGTACCAATCAGAAAACTAGCAACGCAATATCGGAACAGCAAAACGACATCAAATTAAGACGCCAGAATATACCACATAACGCCATTCAGAGACTTCTGCTTAACAATTTCCAAATAGCTTTCCACTTGGAAAGAACGCCATTCTGTCCTAACGTCGGGAAATAATAGTGTTAGCATCTACATCGATAATAAAAGGAAATGATTCAGGACTCTATTCCAAGTACCCGCAGATCTGGCAATCATAGGTTTTGTTTGCATGCCGACTGCAGTGTCTGCAGTGCGGTTATACCTGCGGAAGTCACTACCATAGCTGTAAGAAATGTTCAATAGATCCAACGGGTTTTTATGGTTGGGGCTGAGCAATAAATGGACTGACGAGCCTTTGAAGATAAGCAAATTCGCAGGAAGGGTTCTTACCGGCGTCATCACTGAACAACTTACACCAACTAATTGTGATCGGTTTAAAGAAGAACAGGAATCGAGTCAGTATATTCTACATCGTGTCTTGGCTTCTAGTCAAAAGGCACCACTGTGCAATGTAAAGAAAGCTCTCACCTCTTAAAACATTTTCTGTTTCATTTTATATCTACATCAGCTACTCACAATTCACAACATATGCACGTACATGTGTAGTACATACTAGGGATGTTGCGAATGTGGAATTTTAGGACCTCCGCTGATGCGAATGCGGATGCGGATGTTTAAAAGCTAACATCCGTGGATGCGGANAAACATATGCACGTACATGTGTAGTACATACTAGGGATGTTGCGAATGTGGAATTTTAGGACATCCGCGGATGCGAATGCGGATGCGGATGTTTAAAAGCTAACATCCGCGGATGCGGATAAAACTTGACAAATAGACTTTCAGTTATATTACTTTTTGAGAATTGAATCGGTGCTGAAAATGTCGGATGTATCCTCCTGACTTTCATCTTCACAACCTAGCATCATGCCAAGATCGTTGTTTACACGCCGTTGTTTTCCAAAGAAGTCTCATTCTCATTCGTTTGGTTGTTACAAAATTAGGAGAACCTCTAACGTCATCAGCTTTTTTTATTATAGTTTTTGTAATTAATTTTTTTTAACCTTTCTTCTGTGACTGGTTTGAAAAATGTATAAGCACAGCGAGGTTCTAAATAGGTGAATAAGGCAAATAAATTGTTATTTTCTAGGAATGAAAATTTCTAAGAAAATTCTGTTTTGAAAGTCGTGGCNTTGAGCCATAAATGGACTGATGAGCCTTTGAAGATAAGCAAATTCGCAGGAAGGGTTCTTACCGGCGTCATCACTGAACAACTTACACCAACTAATTGTGATCGGTTTAAAGAAGAACAGGAATCGAGTCAGTATATTCTACATCGTGTCTTGGCTTCTAGTCAAAAGGCACCACTGTGCAATGTAAAGAAAGCTCTCACCTCTTAAAACATTTTCTGTTTCATTTTATATCTACATCAGCTACTCACAATTCAAAACATATGCACGTACATGTGTAGTACATACTAGGGATGTTGCGAATGTGGAATTTTAGGACATCCGCGGATGCGAATGCGGATGCGGATGTTTAAAAGCTAACATCCGCGGATGCGGATAAAACTTGACAAATAGACTTTCAGTTATATTACTTTTTGAGAATTGAATCGGTGCTGAAAATGTCGGATGTATCCTCCTGACTTTCATCTTCACAACCTAGCATCATGCCAAGATCGTTGTTTACACGCCGTTGTTTTCCAAAGAAGTCTCATTCTCATTCGTTTGGTTGTTACAAAATTAGGAGAACCTCTAACGTCATCAGCTTTTTTTATTATAGTTTTTGTAATTAATTTTTTTTAACCTTTCTTCTGTGACTGGTTTGAAAAATGTATAAGCACAGCGAGGTTCTAAATAGGTGAATAAGGCAAATAAATTGTTNAAAACTTGACAAAATTGTAAATTCTTTTCGATTGACACTGCACCAGGTGAGAGGACTTTCAGTTATATTACTTTTTGAGAATTGAATCGGTGCTGAAAATGTCGGATGTATCCTCCTGACTTTCATCTTCACAACCTAGCATCATGCCAAGATCGTTGTTTACACGCCGTTGTTTTCCAAAGAAGTCTCATTCTCATTCGTTTGGTTGTTACAAAATTAGGAGAACCTCTAACGTCATCAGCTTTTTTTATTATAGTTTTTGTAATTAATTTTTTTTAACCTTTCTTCTGTGACTGGTTTGAAAAATGTATAAGCACAGCGAGGTTCTAAATAGGTGAATAAGGCAAATAAATTGTTATTTTCTAGGAATGAAAATTTCTAAGAAAATTCTGTTTTGAAAGTCGTGGCTGCCAGCCGAATTAGTTTGATATCTTGTTATTTTGTTAAAAAGGCGCCCCTTTTTGTATAATAATTTGAATTATTGGAATCAGGTACGATGACATCTTAAAAAGGATCACCTGTAATGAATAGCTTGTAATTAGGTTTTTTTTTTTNACCCCATTTTTCATAATTATTGGAATCGGGGACGATGACATCTTAAAAAGGATCACCTGTAATGAATAGCTTGTAATTAGTTTCTTTTTTTTATTACCTGAGCTCGACTGTTCCTAGTTGCTGGCATTAACAATTAATTACTCACCGCTGTCGGTACCATAAGCCTTCAAATCCGTTTTATTGTTCCATTCCATAAGCTCGATGTGCTTTGATATTTTGAGGCAAATGAACGCAAATTTTCAGCATATCGTTAATATAGTATGGAAAGGGCGTATTTCACATTGTCGCCGAAATGCAAAAAAGGCATATCTAACTAAAATTTTTTATTGCATAAAATGATGTGTGGACTTATGATTCGATGAAATGCATCATAATCAATCAAAAAGTGAATTTTGGATTTCTACTTAGTTACGGCTTTTTGTATTTCAGGAACGATATGAGCTACGTACGCCCTATTCATACTATACTAACAATATATTGCATGCCAACACTCAGAGAAGGAATCAAGTTTTTCGTACTCGATCTTAGCATATCCGAACTTAAAATCGGACTAAGATTGAAAATAAGTACTAAAATAGAGAACACAAATCTATATTAAGTATGATACTTTTGAGTACAAAATACTGGAATTAAGATCATCAAGTATATATCAATTATTTTTTCACGCGTCCTTTTGTGAAAATATTGTTCATATACATACATCTAACATTCTAAGTCGAAGTTTGAAAGGTTGTGATAACTAACTCAACCTTTTCATTTATAATGTTTCTTAAAATAAAATACTCGTACTNAAATCCGTTTTATTGTTCCATTCCATAAGCTCGATGTGCTTTGATATTTTGAGGCAAATGAACGCAAATTTTCAGCATATCGTTAATATAGTATGGAAAGGGCGTATTTCA